GCCTGTCGCACACCCGATCTGGACACCCCAGTTGTTTCAAGCTCGTGAGCCCACAACGTTTGAGTTGATGGGAATGATTGGTGACCTTCACAGGTCTGTGGCTGATCTCGCTTACGGAATGTCGGCTTCGCCACCAACCACATCGTATGTTGGGAATTTTGTACCGCAGGAACGCCCACTACTCGGGCGAATTGTGATCGAGCTCAGCCAACCTGAGGTTGTCTCCAGCTATGGCAATGACATGTTAACAACAACCGGGTTTCGCTCTGATATAGCAACCCAAACCCTCGATCAGGCTGAGGCTAGAGGTAAGAACAAAGTGGGAACAGATGCTGATCCCGTTGAACAACTGCTGTGGGCAGTCGAGGCTTTGAAACCCGGGGGGATGAATAAGCAACAAGTACTCGCAGTCATGGCTAAGACTGTGGATGATGCTTTCCCCACTCCAACTGAAGGTAGTTCAAGCCAAGCGGAAAATCGGGATAGGCCCCGTCATGCCAGAACAGTTCCTTCCGCTCCCAACCCTGCACCGGGAAAAGATCAAAAAGCCAAGGCAGTGCCTGCCGACCCTTTCGCTAGTGCGTCTAGCAAGAACCCTCAGACTTTGAAGTATCTGTCTCGAGGACGCAGAGTTTTTCATGCCGTCTACAGGCCTTTGTCTAGTGCATTTCAAATTTTGGCTAAAAAATGGCATCTTAAACCCCTCGAGCCTCGACCTCTCCCGAAGAATCTTCCTCTCACACATGATGCTGCCTTGTACTGTGCGTACCACCAGCAAACCGGTCACAGCACCAACGGTTGTTTCCGCCTTCGCCACGAAGTGCAAGATTTGATCGACAATGAGGTCATCCTCCCACCCACCTCAGCAAAGTCTGTCACCGCTGAATTGTTAGATTTCGCGGATACTACAAGTATGTGATCAGGGGTTAGACCACCTGCGGGCGGCGCTCGGTGTATTTCAGATGTGGCGTTTGGCACGCACTGTTGGGAGCATTTGCGAATGCAGTTTTGTAATTTCTGGCTTGGGTGTCGAATCAGTTCTTTGTTTTTGTCTTGAGTCTGTCTCTTTGTCCTGATTCAGTCTTTTTGCTTAAGGGTCTGTCTTGTTATGTCGAGTCAGTCCCATTGTATAGAATGTCAGGTGATTCCGGGTTATTGCCTCGAACACCGTTTTGTTTTGTAATTACCCTTTTGTTTTCTTTTGAGTCTGCCTCTCCTGTGGAGCCAGTTGCAACCAGGAAATCTGAATGAAACAGCTGCGGCTATCATGTTTTCCATGCCTATTGCTCCTTTGAGCTAGTTGTGCCAGAGCATTTGAATGAAACAGCGGAGCATCTCACTTACTCTTCTGCACCTCGAATTCATTACATTGACCTAAGTTTTTCAAAACTTTTTAACATTGTGGTGTTGAAAACGAAGAGGAAGGAATTCCTCGGGATTTGCAAAACTTTGATCATTTGAGAGAAAGAGAGGCATGCTAAGCCCTTAATGATTGAAATCATGTTTGTCAACGTGAGTACTGAGAAGGACCCTGGCTTGATCCAGATTGGTTCCGCACTATCTTCAGCGCGAGCGATTTGTCGCTTTCTTAAAAAAAAAATTTCTCAAAAACAAAATGTTTTGCGCAGTCCTGCGAAGACCTGTGTGGAATCGCTCTTGAGATTGTGTAGCTTAGGATCGCTCTCAGCCTTAAGACTTGAGCCCTTGCTTTCAAATCTTGGACCTTAGTTTAGAATGTTCAACGGTCGACTACAACATGAGGCTTGCGTAGCCAAATTTGAAGCAACCCTCGAACAAAAGGTCAAGAAAGTCAGATCAAGAAGATCAGACCTCATCAAAAGAAGCTTGCGAAGCTAGAACAGAAGTACCCCTCGTACTAGGGGCAAAAATGTCTGATGTGCTCGAAGAGCCGAATATGGATCCTTCTGCAAGTCAATACAACAACCACTCTCCTGGATACAGATGGCTTCAAAATCTTAAAACCATTTGGCATGGACTTGTTACACTTTTACCCTTCGAGAGGCTCGCTGGGCCGAAAACCCGGAAGGGCGACCCAGGCAAAAGTTAGAGCAAGAAAAAAAAAGAAAAGAAGAAGTAAAAACACAAGTCCTTGGTCCACAACCAAGCACAAAACAAACGAGTTAAGAGATCTTAAGGCGAGGCGCGCAGCCGAGACCTTCAGGAACTCAAAACGAACACAACACTTCCAAATCAAGTGTGTCCATGTAATGGTTTTGATCATCCTTGCCTTTTCTGAATCCGATAGTTCGAGTGTACCTTAATCGGAACTACGTAAGGCTTGATTCCCATGTTTGGGATACGTAGGCAACTTCATCCTGAAGTCCAGCCACCAACACTTCCAAATCAAGTGTATCCATGTAATGGTTTTGATCATCCTTGCCATTTCTGAATCCGATAGTTCGGTTGTGACACAACCTGAACTACGTAAGGCTTGATTCCCATGTTTGGGATACATAGGCAACTTCATCCTGAAGTCCAGCCCCACGCACTTTCAAAGTGACTGTGTCCATATATTGGTTTTGACCATCTTTGTCTTCTCTGTATCCGAGAGTTCGGTTGCGATCATCACTAATGAGGACTGACTACAGTATGCTGCGGCGTTATCCAGACAAGGGGCAACTTTCCGTTGCCATGAGTCACCATCCGAACCAGGGGCAACTTTCCGTTGCCGTGATGTGCCCTTTAGAACAAGGGGCAATTTTCCATTGCCTCCGATCCGAGGTTGTACATCTCAACAGTAAGTTTCATGCTCGTTGAGCATTGGCTGTTTGCCAAAATGGTTTTTGAAATTTTTTATTGAGGTTGACTATTTTCTCGAAAATTATTCCATTTTTTCCAAAACAGGACCATTTCTTGGACCCAAAAAGGAAAATTTTCAGTGCTCATAACCTAACTTTCATGATTTTCAAATCAAAAATCGAACAAATATGTTAATCTAACTCTCGTTTTGCTTAAAATTGTTTTAGTAGAAGATCAAAACAAAAAAATGGTCAAAATGATGGACTAGGGGCACAGTTGAGTCAACCTTCTAGTCTTTCCCCCATCACCAGGATACTTGCCGAAAAGGGCACAGCTGAAGTTGTCATTAAAGGGCTGAAAGCTCTCTCGACCTCCGAGCAACGAGGTATCGAGCCAAGTGCGAAGCACGAACCAGAATGGATCAAGATACTCCACTCATTTATCAGGAACATCGACTAAACGTCGCCGAAAAAAGTAGTTGCGAGCTAACAGTGTTGGGCGTGAACCCACAACCTCTTGTTTATTCATTGACCATATCTGGGGAGGGATGAAAAGAATGAGAGAGTAAAGAATAGAGAGGTGTAAGTTAAGAGAAAAACCGAGCCTGAGGGCCGAGTGATGTGAGAATCACAAATGAGAAGAGGGTGGGGAACAATACCCAGAGAAACTGGCTCCTCGTGATCTGAGAAGTCTCTCATTTTTATAACGCGTCTGTGTGTCGTGTCTTTTGTTTTGTTTACCTTTACTCTTGTTTTGGGTCTGTTTCGAGCGTGTCTCGTTGTGTTTAGGTTGTATACCTTTGTTTGAGTCGTAGTATACTGTGTTCAGTCGTAGGCTCAATACCCGGTTGAAAACCCTCTCCTCAAATCGTTTTGTGCTCAGAGTGCTGTGCCATTCCCTACATTTGTGCAAAACATGATTTGGTTCTTTCATAAAACTGCAGGGTCCACCCCCGATAAGTGTGAACAGAAAAACCTGGACCTATCTGAAGCTTTTGGGTTTCGGATTGCGAAGCAAGAGATTTTGGAGCATCTGAGTGTGTTTTAACTTCTGCAGAGTCCAGAATGGACCGTGTATCCAGAATGGGTAATATGCTGCTGTGGTCTATGAGTTCAGAATGAGCAGTGTTCAGAATGGGCTGTGTGTTCAGAATAAACAGTGCGCTGTACGAACTGTGTGTATAGGCTGTATGCAGAGTAAACCAAGCACTGTGTTATGGGCTGTGTGTTCAGAATGAGCAGTAGGTTGTATGAGTTGTTTTGTCATTAGCTGGTTCACTACCTGGTTATTACAATACAAGTGTTTGATTTTCAGATAAAAGATCAATCCCATTTACATTGTTGTGTAATATGACGCGACGCGATGCGATGCGATGCGATGCGATGTATGAAATACACAAATGTAACACTTTTTCAGGCAAAAAAGTTTGTTTCATTTCATCATCTTTTCAAGTACAAAGTTTCGAGGAAAATAAAACTTGCATGCGACAGTACAAGGTACTCAAGCTACCAGCAAAAAAGAAAAACTAAAACAAAAAGAAGAAAAACAGCAAAAATCTGGATCAGCATCGATCATCTTAGGCCCGAGAGTCTGTCCTCGTCCTCTTCCTGGACGAAGGTCCAGGAGCGTCATCCTCTGCACCATCATCTGAGCCCGAGTCCGAGTCGTCCCCAGTCTCCTCCTCAGATGACTCTGCCTCTGCCTCTGCCTCTGCCTCTGCCTCTGCCTCGGACTCATCATCATCGGAAACTGGTGCCCGAGAGCTACTCCCAACATGAGTGTGCCCCACTTTGGTGCGGGGGAATACTGTGCCACCTCGCCCTCCTCCTCGAGCGGGAACAAAAGGCCCAGCTGGAGCACCTCCTGCAGTAGGGATCTGGAATGGAGGCTGAAAAGCACAAATGGCAAACGCATCAGTATGCTACGCAAAACAGTGTATCAGTACAGAATACAGTGTGTGAGTACAGTGTATGAATACTGTGAGCAGTGTATCAGTACAGAATACAGTGTGTGAGTACAGTGTATGAATGTTGTGAGCAGTGTGTGAATACGAAATGCAGTGACTGAGTGCAATGTATGAATGTCGTGAGTAATGCTGTGAACAGTATGTGGGATACAGTGTATCAAATGCCGTGAGGGCCGTGTATCAAGTGCCATGTTGGTAGTGCGACGCATCAGATTATGCGTGAAACAGATTATGCACAGTTTGAGATTATGGTTGAAAAAGAGCTGACCGGGATACCGTAGATAGCCAGCAGGTCAAGGCTCCGCTGGAACATCCCCATCACGGAGGCGGTCAACTCCAAAGACTGGCGAGTGTACTCGGAGGAAGCCTGCAAAAGTGTTAGAAGCATCAGTATTCTGCGGAATATCAAACGAAATGAAATGAAATGACGATGCAAAATACAAAATGCAATAATACTTATCGGAGGCAAGTCATAGAAACCGACTAGCTCGTGATTAGCCGGAGGGGGAGCGATAGGGATCTAGTAAGTCTCCCTACCCTACCCTCTGCATGTCATCGTCATGGGCAGTGCTGGCTAACTAGCCCCCCGTCCTCTCCGGGGCCCATTCCTGCCACGGGCCCGAGCCATCCAAGGTGCTCCTGCCCCTTCTCCCGCTCCCGCTCCGGCCGCTGGCGCCGCAGGCCTCTCTCTCTCAGCTCGACGACCACTGCTTAGGGGCCGCATGATGAAGGTCTGGACGTACTCTGCATAGTTGCCCTCGCCTCTGAAGCTCTCTGCCTCCCATCCGATCGTGTAATCGGCCATCTCATATGGGGGGTACCTCTCTGTTTGCCTCGTGTCGATAGGAGGCGGACCTGGAACTATCTGCTCTGGTAAACCTAAGGTCTGGCGCAGGAAGCGCTCGCCTAGGTACCAAGCCCGACAGACCGGGCCCTCCAACAGAAGCCTGAATCGGGCGGACTCCTCAGCGCCTACATACCGCTTCTGAACTACGGCTGGCAATGGAGCCCAAGGCTGCCAGGTGATCTGTAAATGATATGCAGTTTGTTATCTACTGTTATCGAAAGAATAATGTAAAGCAAAGCTTAAATGAACTGCAAACTCTAAAATACCTCTGCGGCGGTGATGGTGTCGAAGTAGCGGCGGAAGAATATAAACGACTCCCGGGGTCTCCGCACGTATCTCACATTGAAGCGGTGGGAGAATGGAACGCCGAGGGGGGTCTCCTCGTCCGGCACTAGGGCAAGCCTCAAGAAGTAGGCATAGACCCACAACTGCAGAGCAAATATCAGTATGCTTATCAAATAATGCAAAATGCAGACGAAGCAGAATGCAGGATAAAACAGAAATTGCAGAACCGTGTATTGTGCAAAGTGTATAGTGTGTGCAGTATACAGTCAGTGTAAAGCAGATTGCATGTTTGCAGTATATGCGGTGTATAGTCAGTTGGCATCAGATTGTGCAGTATGTGAAGTATTGTGCAGTATACAATCAGTGTAAAACAGATTGCATGTTTGCAGTATGTACGGTGTATAGTCAGTTGGCATCAGATTGTGTAGTATGTGAAGTATTGTGCAGTATACAGTCAGTGTAAAGCAGATTATATGTGTGCCGTGTGTGCAGTATACAGTCAGCGTGAGGCAGACCGCAGCATGTGCAGTGTACGGAGTACAGAAAATGTAAAGCAAAAATATAAAACAGAGAAAGAAAATGTACCTCCCAAGCTCGCTAGTAGCCTCCGAGCAACTGTCCGCTGAGGCGAGAGGATGAACTCATGTAGCCGTACAGTGTGGCCAAGCTTGCGCCACCCCAGTCATAGCGGCGGATCCGCGTGACGTCCACTAAAGCGCTCAACAGACAGAGGGGCACAGTGTTCGCCCGGTCAGCGAAGAGGGTCGTCCCCAGCAAGAACATAAGGAAGCCGCGTACGTACTGCTTCGCCTCCTCCTGAGCCATCTACGCCTCCTCAGCTAAGGTTGGCTGAATCCTGAAGTGGTCCTCGAACCACGAATATCTGACAAATCCTAGACGGGCAAGAGGCGGTAGGTCGCCAAGCAAGTACATCTGAGCGGCCTCCCACTCGTCCATGTCTGTGTCGAAGGGGATCGGATCACCCCCTACCCCGATGCCGGTGAGCATCGAGAAGTCAAAGGGAGTCATCGTCATGTCTCCCGTGGCGAAAAAATGGAAGGAATCGGTGGTGTCCCACCACCTCTCCACCAGAGCGGCAAACAAATGCCTGCTCGTAGTAAGGCGCGACAGTCCTCTGTAGAAAGTGTCGAAGCCGGCCTGATCAACAATATGGCGGACCGCGTCCGGTAGCTCTATATACCATCCCTTGGCGGCAACATTCCCATACCCCCGGAAGGTATGGGAATCTCCCTGTATTCAAAAGCAAACAGTTGCGAAGCAATATTGAAGAACAGTCAAAATTGATACAGATACAACGTGTGTGCACGTTCTCAGATTCAAATAGATATCGAGTGCCGGTGTGCTCGAAGTGAACTATAACATATGATGTATCAGTGTGTTCGAGTGGTTCAGCGTAAATACAGCGTGTGTGCATGTTTTCGGATTCAAACAGATATCAAGTGCCGGTGTGCTCGAAGTGAACTACAGCATATGATGTGTCAGTGTGTCTGATTGGTTCAGTGAAAACACAGCGTGTGTGCACGTTTTCAGGTTCAAACAGATATCGGGTATCAGTGTGTTCGCAAATGAACTACAGTGTGTAATATATCGGTGTATCCGGGCTAAGTAGTTAAAGAACAGAATCAACTATTGTAGTTATGTTCTACATTACAGAAAATAAAACAGAGGGAAGACTATACCTCAGAAGTGCCGTAAGACAGATGTGACTCTGGCTCGCGCAGAAGAAGCTCTCGTGGCACGCCCCTATCAAAAGTCCTGAACTGGCGAAGACCATCAGGAGGTAGCACGTGAATCATCGGTCTGTAGGCCGCCGGATCGAACGGTCGGATGTGAAGAGGCAAGAGCTCGGCCTCTGGGTCCACATCCATCCCCGGGGGAGCCCCACCGCCTGGAATATCGTCTGCCATCTCAAGGGTAGTGTGAAAATGGCCGAAAATGTGGAAACCGGGCGAACATATGAAAAGTCAACTAAAAAAGTCAACCTCGGGAGGGTGAAAAATGGCCAGAAAGGTCGGGGTACAGAAAAGGCACAGAGATCGAGGAAAACTCGAGGAAAAAAAACCCCAAGTGGTGGAAATCAAGAAAAAGACACCGAAACAAAGATTTGTTCGGTTCAAAATGTTCGAAACGATGAGGGTTTCACGAATCGAACGTTGAAATGGGCCCGAAAACCAAGGAAAGACGGGGATAGAAGCTTGGAAAATAACCTAGAGAGAGAGAGGGCTATTTTTCGAGCAAGAGGAAGTGAGAAATATAGGGCTAGAAGCCCTATATTTAAAGACCTGTGCCGAATTGACCAAACTGCCCCGATTCAGGCATATTTGGCCAGTCGGCCACATTGTTAGCCGATCGGCCAAATATTTGGCCGATGGAGTTATTTTGTGGCCGGTGTATGGCCGGTGACCTCCCCTGATGGCCGGTGAACCTCCTACACCTTTGTTTGGGTCTTTGATGTGGTTTGGGGCCTCCCTTGCTCAACACAGTGCAAGAAAATACATTTTCGAAGCTTAACCGGTCTTTGTACCGTGTCTTCTGTGCGTAGCACTCGAATATGTGTGAGGTGTATCCTTTTCGTATCCTTTGATATCTTACGAGATTCAGTAACTTCTTTGAATGCGTCGCATTACAATGTTTTACCTTGTTAACGGTTAGCATACATGCTTACATTGTTATGCATCTCGGTCTAGGAGACCTTAAATCCTTTGAAGGTGCAAGTCCTTTGGTGTTTGTCGTGCCCGAACGACTCTTGGCAGGTTTTATCTTAGATTGCATTGTCATGCACACCGCACTCGCATTGTTATGCGCACACCTTGTGCATTGTGACGCGCCCGACTTGCATTGTTCTGCATCTCGGTCTAGGAGACCTTAAATCCTTTGAAGGTGCAAGTCCTTTGGTGTTTGTCGTGCCTGAACGACTTTTAGTAGGTTTCATCTTAGGCTGCATCGTCATGCGCACTTTACATGCATTGTCATGCATGGTCTTTGTCACGCATCATCATGCGCACCTCACATGCACTTGTCATGCATTTCAAAGAGAACATGCGTTGTCGCGCATTTGAGTCCCCTTGCATCCTCATGCATATTCTAGTTGCATTGTCATGCATTTTCTCTATCATGCATTGTCATGCTTATCATACTTGCATTGTTATGCATTTCGGTCTAGGAGACCTTAAATCCTCTGAAGGTGCAAGTCCTTTGGTGTTTGTCGTGCCCGAACGACTCTTGGCGGGTTTTATCTTAGATTGCATTATCATACACGCCGCACTCGCATTGTTATGCACACACCTTGTGCATTGTAGTGCACGCCATACTTGCATTGTTATGCATCTCGGTCTAGGAGACCTTAAATCCTCTGAAGGTGCAAGTCCTTTGGTGTTTATCGTGCTCGAACGAATCTTGGCGGGTTTTATCCTAGGTTGCATTGTCATACATCCCTCACTCGCATTGTTATGCGCTACTCATGTGCATTGTCATGCATTTCAAAAGACATGCGTTGTTGCACGTTCAATTTCATCTGCATTATCATGTATTTTCAAAAAAAAAAAAACAAACAAACATGCATATGTCATGCATTATACTGTAAATAGTGCATATGTCATGCATTACACTGTAAATAGTGCACATGTCATGCATTTCATTGTAAATAGTACATATGTCATGCATTACACTATATATAGTGCATATGTCATGCATCTCACTGTAAATATTGCATTTACATACATTCCATTGCATATTGTATATATTACATTGTAGCTTGCATGTATTTATTGCATCACCTCCATTTACGGCTTACGCCTTTCCATGTTGAGCCTGGTCTGGTATGTGCCCGTACTTTTCGCGTTGACGCACGGTTATGATATTATGTGTACGCACCTAGTGTTGTGGGTGACGGCACCGTTTCCGTGTTAAACGTGGTCTGTATGTGTCCATGCCTTTCCTAGGCAAGATACGGTTTGGCCACCTGCCATATCCATTGTAAATATTACATTCCATTGCATATTGTATATATTGCATTGTAGCTTGCATGCATTTATCACATCACCTCCATTTACGGCTTGCGCCTTTCCATGTTGAGCTTGGCCTGGTATGTGCCTGTACTCTTCGCGTTGAAGCACAGTTATGATATTATGTGTACGTACCTAGTGTTGTGGGTGACGGCACCGTTTCCGTGTTAAACGTGGTTTGTATGTGTCCATGCCTTTTCTAGGCAAGATACGGTTTGGCCGCAGGCCTTATCCACTGCATCCATTGCATTTTAGCTAGTAAATATTGCATTGTCATGTATCTTTCCTTACATGCATTGTAGTGCATTCTTCCTTACTTTGCATTGTCATGCATTTCCCTACTGCATCATTTAGTATGTAGGTTTCATTGTAAATAGTGCATTGTCATGCATTCATTGTATTGCATTGTAGTTGCATGCATTCACTGCATCACCCCCATCTACGACTTGCACCTTTCCATGTTGAGCTTAGTCTGGTATGTGCCCATACTTTTCGCGTTGAAGCACAGTTATGATATTATGTGTACGCACCTAGTGTTGAGGGTGATGGCACCGTTTCTGTGTTAAACGTAGTTTGTTTGTGTCCATGCCTTTCCTAGGCAAGATATGTTTTGGTCACGCGCCATATCTATTTCATTCATTGCATTGTAGTGTAGTGTTTTGCATCCAGCATTTAGGATCATAGCCTCTCCTGAGCAGAGCATGCCTCACTTATATCATCCCACCCAATTACTTGTATCTTGTGTTCCGTCTATACACTCATAGTTCTGCATGTGTACGCGCCTATTCCACTGCTGGTATTGTGGTTTGAGGGTGTCGGCACCTTTTCTATGGTAGACGGACTTTGCATCTCCATCATCTTTATGATATTTGTGTGGTTTTGAACTGCTTATGGTTTGATCATGTTTCAATTGCATTACATATTATTTGCATTGTTTATACATGGTTTTGTATATATTGCATTATCATCTTGCATCCATTCCGCATTGTTATGCGTTGTCACATGAGTTGCATTGTCATGCACTCCTTCGCTTGCGTTGTCACGCAGTTTTAGATTGCATTGTTATGCATGTTGCTAACGATATCGTACCTGTTAAGTTTTCTTTCTCTTTCAGGCACGATATTGTATGTACGGTTCATTTGAAACTGGTGCAACTAGACGAGCCGCACAGGTATTATATTCTCCGTGTGAGACGTATCGAGAATTGAATAATTCTCTTACATCCTATCTGCATTGTAATGTAGCTGGGTTCTTGCTTAAAACTATTACATGTTATGCTTCGTTACAGTTTTCTTTGCATGATCATGAGTTATGTACGGCTTCTTGCATTATCAGTTGCATTTTGCCCCCGTCTTCGGGCGCATATCTTTATTGTCTTGCATGTTTGTCTAAGTTTTCGGCCTTGTCAAAAATGGGTCGTCTCTGGGCTTTGACACTCACTCCCGTCATTGTTATGACTTTCAAGCTCTGTCAAAGAGGGTGTAGACACCCCATTTTGACCGGCCCTAAGACTTGGGCACTTTCTTTTGACCACCCGCTGATAAAAATTAGAATATGTCATTTTATGAATTTCTCAGCCGAAAAATCAAATTGAAGCTTTAATCCCAAACCTCACCTATTTTGGTCAAATTATTTTATATCACTAATATTTTATCAATTTGTAGTATTTTATAATTTTTATCTAATTTTATGTGTGTGTACACATTTTTAGGTGTTTTTTATATAAAATAATAACAAAAAAAATAAAAAATGAAAAAGAAAATAAAGAAAAGAAAAAGAGAGGGTCAGATGAGGATAATGGGTTTTGGGATGGAAAAAGATTTTGTTTTTGCTGGATTCAAAGGGGAATAGAGTGGACATTATGATGATAAGTTTTGGGTGGAAAATAATTCGGTGAAGTGGGTTTGAAAAGTGGTGGAGGAAATTGAAAAAAAAGGAGGGCAGGTGAGAGTGGGTGGAGAGGAGACACCTAACAAACACACTATCTCTCCCTCTTCAGAATAATTGAGGTCTGTGGACACCAGGGATGTGGATTTTTTATGATTGTTGGCATGGTGGGTGATAAACAATTAAAAAATCTCTCTCTTTATATTTTCCAACTTGTTTGAAGCAAAAGGGGGGAGGGGAGGACAACACATGCAAAAAGGCTCTCAGTCTCATCTCTTTCTAGCTGGGTCTCTCTCTCTACACATACACATTGCACACACACTCACGGCAGCAGCACACCACACACATGCACAACATACACTCTCACCACACCACCACTGCCATCCCAACACACATGCACAACATCACTCAACACACACATTCACCACTGAACACACACACACGGGTTTAGAGAGAGAGTCCACACACTTATCACCCATACACTTCATACACCACACCACACTACCCATGCACACACACCATTCACACTACACATACATGCACACACAGCAAACCCAACCACTGCTACACACACAGACAGACAACACACAGCTCTCTCTCACACTTAAAACACACATGCATACATATTGATACACATTCACACACCCAAGAGGGACACAGAGCAGATGCATACACGCTGAACACATACACACACAAACTCACCTCTCTCTTTGGAGGCTGCTATCACACTACACATACCCATGGAGATCACACGACACACAGGATAGACACACAGACACACGGTTTTGAGAGGGGAAGATCCATACACATGCGGTCTCTCGCCATTTTTCAGCTCACTCTCTCTCTCTCTGAACTTGATCTCTCTCAGGCTGGTTCTTCACCCACACATAACACACACGAGGCACACACACACACAGTCAATATACATTCACACACATGCATACACATTGATAGATTTTCACACACCCAGCACACAT